TGCTTTCATTAAATAAAAAGATCCGCCCTCCTTTTCTTATTTATCTTTCACTTCCACTTGGCCTCACTAAGAGATTTGAAAGTAAACTGATGTGGAAGGTAAATCCAGGAAAATTTAATGCACTTTTTAGTTTCAATTTGACAGTTGCTCTTATGCCCTAAGTTTTAGTTGGAGTGTTTTCGTGGGTCTTATAAAATTTGATTTTTTTCTTGATAAATGATTTTTCCCTAAATATTTATGATGAGAACAGTGGCATGCTAATAAAGCTAAAAACAAGAGAAATTTCTAACTAAAAATACTCATAAAATGTGATTTTGAAAATTAGTGTGTAGAGCCCAAAAAAGACTTTCATTGAACCGTGTGCTTTTTCATGATAAGATGGTAGGGTTATAGGGTAATTCAGCTGTTCAGGATAATTTGAGCGAAAGGCATCGGAAATGGGAAGCGGAAAGGTAGGATCAGCTGGAAATCATTCCTTTTGCAGAGAGCACAGAGTTGTACGCAGGGCCCCGTGCCTGGCCTTGGGAGGAATGTGGAGATGAGTTGGGAAGAGAAGGTGGGCAAGTGGCAGAAGAGGGTGGTCCCTCGAGGCAGTGTTACGATAGCGTGGGGCGGGGATGTTCCTTCTGGACAGGATGATCGGAAAGTGTCTCAGAGAGGGAGCACTGCCTGCATCTCAGAGGATGGTTTTGGGGACAGAGGATGACATTCCTGGTGAAGAGAATGCAGGGACACAGAGAGACACTGATACGGCTTGGCTGTATCCCCACCCAAATCTCATCTTGGATTGCAATCCCGTAATCCCCACGTGTCAAGGGAGGGACCCAGTGGGAGGCCATTTAATCATGGGGGTGGTTACCCTCATGCTGTTCTTGTGATAGTGAGTTAGTTCTTGACATCTGAAGGTTTTATAAGGGACTTCCCCGCCTCACTCGGCACTCCTTCCTGCTGCCATGTGAGGAAGGACGTGCTTGCTTCCCCTCCGCTATGGTTGTAAGTTTCCTGAGGCCTCCTCAGCCCACTGGAACTGTGAGTCAATGAAGCCTCTTTCCTCTATAAATTATTCAATCTTGGATATGTCTTTATTAACAGTGTGAGAACAGACGTGGATGGGGTGTAGTGAGTAAATTAATAAGTAGATAGGCTTTCTATAATCTGCATAAGCTTATGAGCTGTATTTGATGAAATACTCGAACAGAAAGCAGAGAGGCAGCAGGGCATAATTTTACAAACCCAGCCCCTGGCAGCCTGAATGTGAACACTGGCTCTGCAGCTTTCTAGCTGTGAGATCCTGGTTGACTTATAGAACCTCTCTGAGCTTCAGTGTCTTCACGTGTAAAAGGCGGGGGTTGCTGGAAGAAGTCAGCTAATGCACGCAAAGGACTCAGCGCGTGTTCTGCACAGAACAGTTGGCCGAGAAGAATTAACTATTAATAGCAACAACATCAATAAACAAAAAAATGTGTACGGCTATGAATTTTTCTCTTGAAATAGATTTCTAGGAATAATTTTAAATTTTCTTATGCATCCAAATTTGCAGAAGGCTAACAGCAAATTTTCAGTGATGTAATGACCTCAGGGATGTCAACAAGCTTCACATTACCAATCCTTTGGGTTAAATCTCAGGCTTTCTGGTCATCTGAAGGATCTGAGGTTTCATACGCACACCTGAAACATCTCCTTGCCAGAAGAAATGGAAATAAAGTTTCTAGAAAGCAGCATTATTTCAGTGTGTTATAAACTGTTGGGATATCATCATATTCTTTAAACCAACCTGGTTTGTAATTCATAATGCCTACTGGTAAAGTGTAAATGAGAATAGAAATTGAATACACCTTCACTCCCCGCTCATCAGGGGAAGCAGCTGGGAAGAAGTTGCAGGCATGGCATCAGCAAAGTGTGTTTATACCCTCTGCTTGTAGCTTTGAAGGAATGTTTAGAATTTTGTGTTACACTTAAGTAATTTTAGGAATTTTTTCAGTACTTTAAAATTATATTCATTGTTGATAACACCAGGAGAGGCAAGGGTGCTGGTTATTTTGTTGAGGACTTTGCTGTTGGGTTCGCCAGATATGGCTACGTAGATAACTGCATACCGCAGCTTTGTCCTGAGTGGGCTGGGGCAGGTGAAACAGCACGCTAGGAAGGTCCCCTCAGCACCTCGGTAAGCAAACTTACCTGAGGCCAGCTTGTTACACAAGACAGTCATGTCATGGCGAGGTTTCTGGTGGTCAGGAGTGTGGCTGCTGCCTCTGGGAACCCAGAAGCTCCTCTTAGGCAACCAGGGAGCTTCTCTACCTCCCTGTTCTGGAGTGTTCAGGAGTCTGGCAGTGTCACTTAATCTCAGATGTGTAAGTAATTCAAAAAGTACACATTTGAGCCTGGGCGCGATGGCTAATGCCTGTAATCCCAGCACTTTGAGAGGCCAAGGTGAGCAGATGACTTAAGGTCAGGAGTTGGAGACCAGCCTGGCCAATATGGTGAAACCCCATCTCTACTACTTAAAAAAAAAAAAAAAAAGTACGCATTTGAGATTAAGCTCGGCCAGGCACCGTGGCTCATGCTTGTAATCTCAGCACTTTGGGAGACCAAGGCAGGAGGATCACTTGAGCCCAGGAGTTCAAGACCAGCCTGGGCCACGTAGTGAGACCCTGTATTAAAAGAACTACCAAAGACTGGGTAATTTATAAAGAAAACAGGTTTAATTGGCTCAAGTTCCTCAGGCTGTACAAGAAGCAAGCCGGGGAACGCCTCAGGAAACCTGCAATCATAGCGGAAGGCAAAGGGGAAGTAAGCATGTCTTACCTGTCTGGGTGAGGAGGAAGAGCCGGAGGTGGAGGGGCCACACCCCTTCAGACAGCCAGCCCTCCTGAGAGCTCCACCCCGACACAGCACTAGGCTGTTAGAAACCACCCCCAGGGTCCCGTCCCCTCCTGCCAGGCCTCACCACCAACACTGGGGATTACAATTTAACAGGCAATTTGGATGGGGACACGGACCCAAACCAAGTCAGACCCCCATTCCGATACATATATCTTATGTATGTACACGTATATATGTGTAGGCATATATATGTATGTGTGTAGACATACATGTGCATATATGTGTATATATACATATATGTGTATACATATACAGAAATTACATAATATATGTTATACACATATAATATATGTGAGATTAAGCTCATAGATTACTTTGTATTGGTGATGCCATCTGTAGGTCTCATTGTTATTCTAGCATTTTTAGGACTTTGACATTAGGCTTTGTTCTTCTGCAACAGGTATAGCAGTTACTATGTTCCGGGCACTGCTCTAAGTAAGCCCTTCATGTCGTCTAAGTCATTTACTCCTCTGAGCAGTCCCAAGGTGCCCGAGTTCCCATTGGACAGATGAGCAAACTGACAGGCAGAGAGGTCCGCTAAGGTGCGTGAGGCTAGTTTGGTGTCTGGGGGGCCTTGACCCTGGCCCTCCATGTCCAGAGTCCCCTCAGTCTGGTGCCTGCACGCATCCAATATGAGTTTGCTTAAAAACCTGTGGCCTGTCTTTGAGGAGTGATACATTTGAACACGTTGCCATTACTTTTTGTGTAAATTCAACAAGTGTGTTATTAGTTTTCAGGTATGCAACGGGACAGAACACAGTCCCTGCCCCAAAGAATGTGTTCCTTCCAGATGTGAAGCAGGAGTCAGGTTCCGACTGGAGATGTTAGGTGACGAATGAAAAGGCTGCCCCTGGCCTTAAAAAAGTTGAGATGGAATTCACATGCCACGAAATTCACCATTTTAGAGTGCACGACCTAGTGGGTTTTAGACTATTCACAAAGTTGTACAACCATCACACCTATCTCATTCCTGACTATTTTTCTCACCCCAAAAGGATGCCCTCTATCCATTTAGCAGTCACTTCCCATTTCCCCCTCACCCCAATAGCTCCTAATTAGATCCCAGGCAGCCCCCAGGTAACCGCTGGTCTACTTTCCGTCTCTATGATTTGCCTGTTCTGGCCATTTCCTATCAATGGAACCGTGCACTCTGGGGTATTTCCTGTCCCGTGTAATTCACGTGGCATCGTGTTTTCAAAGCTCCCCCCAGCTGTAGCCTCAGTCAGCACGTCCTTGTCATGGCTGAGAGGCACTCCTTTGTGTGGATAGGCCTGTCGTGTTTACTCATTCATCAGCTGCTGAACAGGTCCTTGCCTTTCAAACTGTTTCTAGGAAGTCATCCTGTTAAAAATATTTCTATATGGTCAGACCCTTGGTCATAGATTTACTAAGGATTCTAACCTATTCTGCCTGAATGTTTTTATGACAAAATCCTTCTGCATCATTTAGGCAAAACGTTCACTGCAATGTTGGGCTGTTGTCAGATTGTCCCGTTCTGGAAACGACTCTGTCTCAAGACCTTAAGTTGGCTGAAGGGTTCTCACTTGCCACACCTGGGTGTAACCTTATAGGCTCCTAACCAGGGCTTATATGTATTCTCTGAAATATTCTCTCTCTCCTTTCTTTCTTTTTTTTTTTTGAGACAGAGTCTCTCTCTGTCACCCAGGCTGGAGTACAATGGCGCGATCTCAGCTCACTGCAACCTCCGCATCCCGGGTTCAAGCGATTCTTCCGCTTCAGCTTCCCGAGCAGCTGTGGTTACAGGTGTACACCACATGCCCAGCTAATTTTTGTATTTTTAGTAGAGACAGGCTTTCACCATGTTTGTTGGCCAGGCTGGTCTCGAACTCCTGGTCAGGTGATCCACCCTCCTTGGGTGTCCCAAAGTGCTGGGATTACAGGCGTGAGCCACTGTGCCTGCTCTCTCTCTTTTTTGTTTTTTTACTGTTATTGTTTTTATTATTTAATAGCTGGGTTCATAGTACCATTTCCTACTTACTTTTTTCCCACTCTGAATTGTTGAGTCTGGCTCTGCTGCCATTAGTTGTAATTCCCTGGAGACTTAGCCTCATTTCAGGCTTTTGCTAACATTTATCTTTATTTATTTATTTTTTGGACTGTTTTAAGATCATTTATTAGAACACAATCTTTCAGAAGCCATGGAGGCATTGGGCAGCAGAAAGGGAGCCGGGATGGAGCAGGCCCTGTGAAGGCCCAAGGACAGAGTGACAGCCACAGTTACAAAATTTCATTCGATCCTGCTAAAGATTAATGTATGCCGGATAACCTAATGATAATCCATAAGCTTGGTAGCTCACAACATTTTTAGAAAGCACATAAGATTAGCATTCAAACCAGGCATTATAGAAAGTTTTATAAAGAAAGAAGTGTTTACTGTAATTCTTTTTAAAAACCTTGGTTCATCTTGAAATATCGATGAATTTTTAAAATATCAGAAGAAAAAGAAAATAAAATTCCCCCACCCCCCAAATACATAAGAACTGCCTACTGGAATTGTATTTTAAGTACCTGGGGAAAAACGGAACAGATTTTTAAAGGCAATTAATAACAGCTTGTACGAGGGCTTGTTTCATTTGATTTGGCACCAAGTAAAGCCGGAGTGCGTACGCCGTGGAAGACATAATAACGGTGTTCCTCCACCCCTCGGGTGCCCTCCTACCAGACCCACAGCGCACCAGCAGCCATCCTTGTTGCCCCGCGAAGGAATCACCGTAGATTCCAATTTTTAAATGGCTGCTCAGGTGACACCAATAGGGTTCTTTCTCCTTGAAATAAGGTGGCTGGCAGTGAACGCTAACGGGTATTGATTTCTTTGATCAGAAACAAAGGACTCCTTCAGGAAACTCACTCACTTTCCTGGTCCTTGTTAACCTGTCATGTAAATTCGTTTTATTGGCACACCTGTTTACACATTATGATTGATTGCTATTTATGCCAAGAGAGCATTTCCCAGGCATGCCTCATCTATTTACCACCGACAAGTATGCTGACTTTATTTACACAGCGCCACGGGTTTTCTCTGTTTCCTTTTTTTTTTTTTTTTTGCAGGGGGTGGGACTGTAACTTGTTACTTATGGCAGATCGTACATTTGGATCAAAAAGAGAAACTGGCCACTAGATCCTAAAACACATTTCTTAACCGGAGTCACATCTAAAAACATATAGACTTTAATTACACTTTGCTGAAAATTCATTCAACTTTGGTGCTTGTCCAAGGACTTACAATGTCAATTTCGGACATAAATCATAACCCTCAGTACATATCTATTTTCAAAGGAAACAAGTCATCTTAAAGTAATATTTTTCTATATACTGATATGTTTTTACAGCAAATTGAAAATTCCGAGTCAACTGAAAGTAAGCTTAACAACAAAATAAATACAGCATATATGGCTAGCATATACATTTCTTAGTGTAAAGGCAGCCGTGAATTTTTGCCTTACAACAAATCTGTAAATCCAGTTGCCTACTCTCTGGAATTTTCCATAGTGTCTCACCATGTTCCACAATGCTGGAAATGTCTTTTTTGCCATCATTCCATGCAAAAATTCCTGATCACGTATTTTCCCCAAATGACATGTAACTTTTTAAAACTTTTCCAGAAAAATATGGGACCTTTATCAACCACTTAACTGAACAAAAAGATGACTACCAAATCCTTTTTTAATTTTGCTCTAATAGACGTTTTAAAAGTTCAGACATTGCTGACGTTTTTGAGGATAACTGCATAAAACACACTAGATGATTCCAAAGCATGAACCTTAGTATCTGACTCATTTAGCACATCCTTAATATCCAGAGTAAAATCAGAAGAAATAAAAGTAACGCAATTTTCAAAGAATTCATACATACTGGAAGTCTTAGGAAAAGTAGCTTCTAAATGCAAGGACTAGGAGGTTTGCCCATCTATTGCCCACCTTTTTTTTCTTTTTTTTTGAGGCAGAGTTCTGTTGCTCTGTCACCCAGGCTGGAGTGCAATGGTGCGATCTCAGCTAACTGCAACCTCCACCTCCTGGGTTCAAGAGATTCTGCTGCCTCAGCCTCCCAAGTAGCTGGGATTATAGGCGCACACCACCACACTCGGCTAATTTTTGTATTTTTAGTAGAGGTAGGGTTTCACCATGTTGGCCAGGCTGGTCTCGAACTCCTGATCTCGTGATCCGCCCACCTCAGCCTCCCAAAGTGCTGGGATTACAGGTGTGAGCCACTGTGTCTGGCCTGCCTAACTATTAATAGTTACACACATTTCTCCTCATGGAGTAACAGAAGCTTTCTGGCTTGTTTGTGGAACTTTAGTTTGTAGGAAAGCATGTAAATAGGGTCAAATCTTGTTGGTTTCTGTTCCGGAGAATGTTTCCAACACGCTTTTGTTCTGATAATGTTTCAGAACTGGCTTTGTTTCGGCTTCAGAGCCTTTGGTCTGTTGATAACCGTCTCTGGCTTACCATCCTCATGCTGTATGAGAGGTTCCACAGTCAGATCATCCGTGCCCACAGTTTTGAGAGGGTCGAATTCAATGTTGTAGACTCGGCCACTGGGGGATGCGTCCAGCGAGCAGTAAGGCCTCATTTAAGGACCTCAAAGCATACATGTGGGTTAATCACAGTAACGATCTGAGAAGCTCTATCTAAGGCTTCTGCCTGTGAAAGTGTCCTTGGAAAACCATCCAACATCCAGCTACACTGTGTGAGATTTTTCAGCTCATGAAGGGCCTGCTGAGTCATGAATCATCTGGGATGAGCGCGCCTTGGTCAGTGAAAGCCTTGGCTGACACACACCGGTTTCTGTATCACATAGCCTGTTGTCCCGAGCAGGTCCCCGCTGAAGAGGTGCTTCAGCTCCAAGTGTCAGGTTATGTGCGACCACACAGTGCCTCTTCCCGAGCTAGGGGCCCCCACAATCACTGTGCGTAGCAACAGATGCCCCCAGGGCCGCAGACCGAGGCCCGTGCTTCGGCTGGCAGTGCTGCCAACAGGTGGCAACCGCTAAATTTATCTTTGTCTCTTTCCAGGTCGATCCAGTGTTTACAAGGGAAGTAAAAGCCAAAGTGAAAAGGTAAGAGTTGGTGGAGACCAGACATGCTGCAGAACAGGAAACCTGAGTGTCCCCTGAGTTACCTTAACTCGCATTTGCCCAGTCCCAGGCACTGTTCCAAGCAGTTTACAGGTGTTTCCTCTCCATCCTCCCAGCCAGCCCATGGCATCCCGGGCACTATCATTTGCCCAGGGAGATGCCAGTAAAAACCACTTTGTGATTATAATTAGTAATGGATCACATTGGCCAAATGGAAAGATTTAAACTCTCAAGGGTTTGGAAGAATGGAGGAATACCACCCTTTGTCACCGCCTGCCTGCAGAGCAATGTGTTGCCGTATTGGTTATGAGCTGCATTTGTCTGCCAGGAACAGCACAGGCTTCAACAGAGTGAGCTTTCACTGCTCACATCAACAAGTCTGAGGGTGGTCAGCCGAGGAGCAAAACCGAAGCTTCCCTGAGACTTTGGGGATCTGGCTTTTGTCTCTGTCTGGCCTTCCTTTGCCCGTGGCTGCCATCCTGAAGGTGACATCGTGGCTCCGGAGCTGTGTCATCAGTCTGCGTTTTAAGCGGAGCGAAGGGAATGAGCAGAGCCAGAAAGACGTGGGTCTCATTTGGGTCAGTCCCCTGTAAAGTGGTGTCCCCACAGCCCCTCAGGATTCCGGCCGGATTGCATTGGCTATGCCAACCGCACAGGGCACTGACAAAGACTGGTTTTCCCCATCTGTAATCAGGGACCTTTAGATCATTTGCAGGTGCAGATGCATGTGTGTCAAAGTATCACCCACTCAGGGAAGGGACGTGTGGCAGGGCCGTGAGAGTGGTGGCTAGTGGTGGGGACGAGGAAGAAGATCAAAGAAAGGCACAGATTTACATTACGTGGTGAGAAGAATAGAACGAGGCAAAACGTCCGTGACAAAATAGCTGTCAGTGCTGTGTGCTGGGGACAGGGCTTTTGTTACATTATCATCACGATTTCGTATTTCTATGTCCATTCTTTTTTTTTTTTTTGAGACAAAGTTTTGCTCTGTTGCCGAGCCTGGAGTGCAGTGGCATGGTTTTGGCTCACTGCAACCTCCGCCTCCTGGGTTCAAGCAATTCTCCTGCCTCAGCCTCCTGAGTAGCTGGGATTGCAGACGAGCGCCACCACGCCCGGCTAATTTTTGTATTTTTAGTAGAGATGGGGTTTTACCATGTTGGTCAGGCTGGTCTCCAACTCCTGACCTTGTGATCCGCCTGCCTTGGCCTCCCAAAGTGCTGGGATTACAGGCGTGAGCACCTGGCCTATTTCTATCATTTCTATTCTTGTTGTCTCATTAGTATTTTAAAAAACTGTTTGAAAAAAGGTTGAATTATTAGAAAAATTTTCCAAATCAAACAGAGAAAATGGCAGAAACCTTATCTCTGACTGTTGTAGACCTTGAAAAAAAAGTTGAATTATTAGAAAAACGTTTTCTAAATCAGAGAAAATGGCAGAAACCTTATCTCTGACTCTTGTAGTCCTTGAGAGCGGCTTTGTTGAGCATATTGAAAACAAGAACAGACATGTTAAACAGCTCCCTCCCCTACTTATCAGGGACATGAGGGTGAGGGTTTCTACCCCAGTACCGCTCTCCTGGTGAACGCTTTGTCAGCAGTGCTTGCTTGTTGATCTAGACTGTTTCACCCAGGTTGTCATGCCTCCTCCTCCCAGCTGCTGCCCATGAGCCTCCTGGGATTAGAGCCACCCCCTGCTTCGTGTTTTCTCAGGGCCGCTGGGGTACGACTGATTGCAGAGATGCCTCAAGGAGATCTGCACGCCGTGGTGAAGAACTGCTTCGCGGTGGTGAACAGCTCTGTCTCTGAAGGCATGTCAGCTGCAATTTTGGAGGTAATTACGTAACTTGAGTACTGAAAGTGGGCGTATGAAATTGTCCATCACTCCCGTTCTTATTTATGGAGGTGACGTCTTTGTCAATAACATTCCGCACTTCTGAAAGCTAGAAGAGCCAAGCAGCATACCCGCTGGAGTTCAAAAGTACGTTTGAAGTTCTATCTGGAAGTTTAAAAATACCGTTTCATTTCGCACTGCCATTTCTCCTTGCTAGCTACGACGTACAATAAAACTGGGATGGCATTGCCTCTCTGACCCTCTAACTATCTCTGACAGGAAGGCAGCTAAGGTTACAAAGGGTTGGGACAGGAAACAGGATGAAGGTGTTTCTGCAGCAAGCCTCCTTTTACTTGATCTTTTCTCTTTCTTTTCATATGTTCTGTAATTCCAGAAATTAAGAGAGAAGAAAGGACTGGATTTCACAGGTAGCAGGAGACGGAAGCAGGGTAGCCATCAGAGATGACAGGGTGGCATGGGGGCTGGGGTGGATGTAACTTCTTCATCCAGCAGTCAGCTCCATAAAATTGCTCCATCTTTTTTGACAAAATGTGTCTATCCCAGCAGCACTCTGCAGTCCACCCCCAGAGTATCTGTGTTTGCAGGGCCGAGTCTGGAGTGGGGAGGCGGTGCCCTTGAAACCTGGGCAGGCTCTGACTGGGCTGTATTCCCTCTTCTGTAAAAGGTCCTGGCAACCCTCACATCCCCTTTGCAATGGGACCACCTACAACATCTCTTCTCCTCCTTGAGACTCTTTTGACGTGGGGTATCTCACCATTATCTCTGCTGCTTGAGTTTAGGTCCTCAAGAGAATCACCAGCACGTGTCTAACAGAAAAAGACGTTCCTTCTCTTGTTTTGTTGTTGGTTCATTGCCTCCAGGGCTCCCGAAGAATGAGGCCAGAAAAGGGCAGGCTCGGCTCGCTCTGGCCAACGCCAGCCTTTGGCACCGGCCTTTCCTCACGCGATTAAAGCAGCAGGTACCGCGTGCATGGTGCCCACGGTGGGCCTCAGCACACACACTGCACACCACGGGCATGGCGTGAGCATGTGTCAATGGGCACATGGGAAAGCCTGTTCTCCTGTCAAAAGGAAAACATTTGGCCACTGCTTCCTGAGATCTTTTATCCAGGTTTCACGTGTTCTTTCTGAATACCTGGACTTCTCATTTCAGTGTCTACTTAGGTTAATGCTGTTACTTTTATCATAAGTCTTTGGGATATCCATGATTCCCCTTAGGTACCAGTTGAATGCACTGAACTTACTGACAAAAGTTAAGGTCTGCAAACCTTAGGGGTCCAGAGAGAACATGGTAAATAACGTAAGAAAAAAATCCTCTCCCTACGTTGAAGAAATGAATGGCATTGTGTGCATAATATTTTCCCTTAATGTGGCATCATTTCAAACCAAAAAACACAGAGGGAGATGATAGACGCTATACGTCCATGCCCAGGAATCTGCCGTCAGGTGCTTTCCGAGCACAGAGTGTACGTTTGTGACGCGACCATCCTCAGCCAGATGTCAGCACCTCAGCTCGTGGGTTGCCATTAGTATTAATCTTCATTGGTCCTTTCAAACCGGCTCCAACTGCGGTCCTCGGGGCAGTATGTTTTATTCGTCATGTTAACGTGAAAAGTGTATATGCTTATGGCTCCAGTATTTCAGCTACTGCTAAAGTGCTCCTTTGTAGGTAAATACACATTTTTTCGACTTCTTAAGGTAGAGTGGAGTTTGGCAGTGATTTTGTAACCAGCACGCACAGCGTTTCACTGCGGATGAATCGCTGTCAAACCTCATTTATTTCAAAGCAAAAGCAGCTGTTAGCAATTCTGACTGCCTTAAAATGTTGATGTTGTGTTCCTTTTGAAAACTCACAAAATAACCTTTGGGCAAAGGGTTTTGAATGAAACTGATTTTAGAGGAGCGGTAAGGGTGCCTTTCATTAAAATCAATTCAGATAGCCCAAGTGTTTAATCATGGAATAAGTGCCTATCACTTTTGAAGGAAGTGATCTTTTGACCTTTCAGAATTAGCTGTATTTTCACATGGAAGCACATAAAAATCCCATTTGCAGAAACACATTTCTTACTGATGAACTCCAAAAATCAAACTTTGGCTGGATGCGTGGGCAGCGGGGTGAACACTTCTACAGCTAAGCAATTGTTTCCAGTTTCGAGCTTTTCTATGGATTGAATCCTGCAGAGAATTACATTAAAACTATATAAATAATTATTTGCTTATCCCAGCCTTCCTGGTTAAGCTCTTTTCCCAGCCCTAGAACACACACACGCACGTGTGCATACAGACACAGGCACACACAGGCACACAAATGCACCCACAGATGCAGGCACACACAGGCGGCGCACACACGCACACACACACGTGCATACACACACACACACACAATGTGCGCGCACACACACATGCTCTGCCTGAGAGAGGAGAAGCCCATCTTCTAAAGCAGAGAGGAGCACCTGCAGGAAGCAGCTGGTTCCTGGCCTCTTGGCTTCCAGACTCCAGCCCCAGTAATTGAAGCAGGATGTGAGGGCATTTGAAGGCAGCTGCGACTCTGTGTCACTTTACCCTCGACTAGTTTGCAAGCATGTGTGCGGACACGGCCGTGCACTGCCTTTCCCACTGTGAAAAGCAAAGGGCCTTTTGAGTTTTCATCATGAGGAAGATGCTGCGGGCATGTATGTGGGATGGGCAGCTGTAGGGAGTTGGGGTGTTGTCCCAGGTGGCGGAATACAGCTAATTCTGAAAGGTCACCTCCTTCCAAAGTGATAGGCACTTATTCCATGATTGAACACTTTGGCTATCTGAATTGATTCTAATCAACTCATTGCATCAGAGTTGTACCCAAAATGCCATTGGCCCCCATTGAGAATCACCGTAACCCCAGTGATGTCAGATCCGAATGTGCTGTGGACACGTCCAGCCCGGCTCCATTGCCATAAGACAAGCAATGCTGGTTTGACTTGACAGATGCTCAGAAACGACTGTTAAAATGCAAGCCGGCCTCTCTGCAGGAAAATCTAGACATAGTGGTTTCCAGCCGCAGGTGTGCATCAGAAACACCTTGAAACTTAAAACACCATAAATACAGGTGTTGGTGCCCACCCCTCACAGCTGGGGCGTCACTTATTTTGCAGTGGGCTCTGGCCGCTGAGTTTCTTAAGACTGTTCTGCAGGGAGGAATGGAGGCAGTGTCTCTGTAAACTTTATTAGCTCTGCTGAAAATGGTGTGCTAGCCACAAAGCCTTTTACAAAGAGTCTCCTATGAAGTTTCCCTCTGCCTGATAAGTGCTTGGAGAAGTCATCTGGGGAAAATAAGAAATCAAGTGAGTTCTCATAGGAGCAGAGAGCAGAAAGGTGGGCAGCGAGGCTGGGGGCGTGGGGCATGGGGAGATGTTGGAGAAGGACCTCAACTCTCAGGAGAAATAAGTTCAAGGGATCTGTATTGCAGGCCATGGAGACTACAGTTAACAACAATAGATGTATCCTTGAAAATTGCTAAGAGTAGATCTCAACTGTTCTCACCACGAAAAACAAGTATGACGTAACACATATGTTAGTTAGCTAGATTTAGCCATTCCAGAGGGTGGATGTGTATCAAAACATCATGTTGTGGCCCGGGGCGGTGGCTCAGGCCTGTAATCCCAGCACTTTGGGAGGCCAAGGCGGGTGGATCACCTGAGGTCAGGAGTTCGAGACCAGCCTGGCCAACATGGTGAACCCCTGTCTCTACTTAAGATACAAAAATTAGCTGGGTGTGGTGGCGGGTGCCTGTAATCCCAGCTCTTCAGGAAGCTGAGGCAGGAGCATTGTTGGAACCTGGTAGGAGGTTGCAGTGAGCTGAGATCGCACAAGTGCACTCCACCCCAGGTGACAGAGTGAGACTCCAACTCAAAAAAAAAAAAATCATGTCGTACACTGTAAATGTAGACGATTTTTACTTGCCAGTTAATTTCTTTTTTTAATCAAGTGAGTTCAAACACAAAGAGGTGTCACGTGCATCTTGGATCCTGACATTTCACTCGTCTTAGTCCCAGAGTGGGGTCCGTGACACTGGCTCTGAACCGCTCTCCTCCCAAGCCTGTGAGTCATGCACCACGGTGCCTCTCCTTCTGGACCCACGGAGGCATTCCGAGGGTGAGCGCACTCACCTGTGCGCGCCGTCCGCCCAGGCGCCGCCCGCCTTCCTACTGGTCAGGCCCAGCTGCACACCATTGCCATTTTCCAGGAGCTCCTCTCTCCTTAAGGCGTGTTCTTTGTTAAAGGCACATCTTGTTGGTTTCTGGAGAGGTGACTTCAGAACTCGTTTTCTGTAAATGTGCTACCCTCAGATTCCATGGAACTCTCTTCTCCCTCTGTTCGTTTCACAGCGTCGTGAGTGGGGTGTGTTGCGCGTCCTTTCCGTTGAACTGTGGTTTTCCTTGGAGGCAGAGCCAGGCCCTCTACGTGTTGAATCCTCCCTGGTGTCTCCCCTTGCATTGCGGACCGTCAGATGGGATGAATGTGCTCATGCATCTGCCATTCAGCAGAAATGTGTACAGTGCCAGGCCTGCCAGGCCCTGGAGATGCTGCAGCAGGCGGACGCCAAAGGGCCTTGGTTACGTGGAGCCCGTGTCGGAACCTGGGTCCTTATGAGGGACAGAAAGAAGGATTGGAAGACGGGCAGGAAGCAGGCAAATGGAAGAGTGAACGGAGAGCTTTAGGACGTAGTGTGTACTGAAGAGGAAATGCAGCAGCTCGATGTGACAGCAGAGGGCTGGGATGTGCTCAGAGCAGGCTCCGTGGGTGTCAGGGGCTGAACTGTGACCCCTCCCCAAATGCCTGTGTTGAAGTCCTCAGAAAGGGAATGTACTTGGAGATAGAGGTAATCAAATTAGAATGAAGTCCCTGTGGGGAGGGAGGAGGGTGTGGGGCTGGCTAATCCAATATGACAGGTGTCATTATCAGAAAGAGGAAGTTTTTTTTTTGTTTTTTTTTTTTTGAGGTGGAGTCTGGCTCTGTCGCCCAGGCTGGAGTGCAGTGGCACATTCTTGGCGCACTGCAGCTTCTACCTCCCCGGTTCAAGCGGTTCTTGTGCCTCAGCCTCCCGAGTAGCTGGGACCCCAGGGGTGCACCACCATGCACAGCTAATTTTGTTTGTATTTTTATTAGAGGTAGGGTTTCACCCTGTTGACCTGGCTGGTCTTGAACTCCTGGCCTCAAGTGATCCTCCCACCTCGGCCTCCCGAAGTGCTGGGATTACAGGCATGAGCTGCTGCACCTGGCTGATACTGAGCATGTTTGCATATGCTTGTTGCCCTATTTACATCTTCTCTGAAGAAGTGTGTAGTCACACCCCTTGCCCACTTTTTCATTGTGTTTTCCTATTATTGCTGAGTTGTGAGAGTTCTTTATGTGCTATAGATACGTCTCCCATCAGCCTATCAGACACGTGTTTTCCAAATATTTCCTCCCGTTCTGCCGATTGCCTTTTCACTTTCTTCAGGGTTTCCAGTGAAGTTCAAAAGTGTTTAATGTTAATTTATTTTTATCATTTCATTTTTTGTAGAAACAGGAGCTCACAATATTGCCTAGGCTGGCCTCACGCAATGTTCTGCCTTAGCCTCCCAAAGTGCGGGGATTATAGGCGTGAACCGCTGCGCCCAGCTCAAAGTTTTTAGCTCTGATGAAGTCCAGTCTAACTATTTCCTTGTTGTTGCTTGTGTTTTTGATGCCATATCTAAGGTAACAAGGTCACCTGTTTTTAGTTGGGATTTGTGGGTTTAGAGTGCGTTCTCAAGACCTGGGATGGGTCACTGTGCTCTGTAAAACTCACTGAGTCAGGTAGGGAGCCATCTGCTGCCATGATGTCATTCACAGTGACAGCCATGCCCACAGACAGATCTAAACTCTGTACAGTAGTATTAAGCCATTTAATCCGGACAAGCATGGTGGCTCCCACCTGCAATTCCAACAGTTTGGGAGGCCAAGGTAGACAGATTGCTTGATCCCAGGAGTTTCAGATGAGTCTGGAAAACATAGCAAGACCCCATCACTAGAAAAAGATTTAAAAACCTTAGCTGAGCACGGTGGCATGTGCCTGTAGTCCCACTGCTGGAGAGGCTGAGGTGGGAGGAGAGCTTGGGCACAGCAGGCGGAGGTCGCAGTGAGCCGAGATTGAGCCACGGCTCTCCAGCCTGGGCAACAGAGCGAGACCCTGTCTCCCCTTCCCAAAAAATATTATTCAATCTTCCCCACTACCCTTATGAAGGAGATTTTATTGTCTCTATTTTACTTCAGGGGAAACAGTCAAACAGCTGGGGGAGGTTGAGATGCTGACCCAAGATCGCACGACTAGTTCCTAGTGGAGCCAGGATCCACACCCAGGCAGGGCGGCTTCAGAGCTTCCCTTACAAATGTTATTATGTGTTTACTTTTAAAAAGTGTAAAATCTGTAGAAGAACAGAAAGAGCAGGGCAGCACATACTTGCGTCCCCTTCACCCACGTTCATCTCCTGCTTCCTCTCCCGTCTCTGTTCATATACATAACTCTCTCTCTTCTTTCTTTTCCAAATCACCTCATAGAAGGTGGTTGTTGACGGCACTGCTAATATTTTTCTCTGCAACTTTGCAGAACCGGTGTCTTCTCCTGCACCTGACAAGACAGGACCATGCTTGAGAAGTCAGTGTCAGTACATTACACCACTGGATGTGCGCTCCAGACTTCATTCCCTCAGTGTCATAGGTTTTTTTCACGCAGGATCCGCACAGCATGCATTGCGCTTGGCTCTGTGTCCCTTTAGTGTACTCTAGCCCAGCTCCCCGTAGCTCTTCATGACATTGTGCCCTCCGAAGGGTCTGGTCAGCTGTCCTAGAGAACACGGCAACGATGGAGTTGCCTTGGGGTTGGATTTGCATCCACTTCCAGCTGGGACACCACGCAGGTGATGTGTACTCCCCAGCACGTCACACGGGAAAGGCATCAGCTCTTCTGCCTGTTGCTGACAGGTGCCTCCATTGTGAAGTCTCACTTCTCCTTTGTGATTGATAAGTCATCCATGGAGTGGTGCTTTGGGTTGTGGGGACACAGATGCTCCTCAGCTTATGATGGGGCCGCATCCCAATAAACCCATCACAAGTTGAAAATACCATGAGTTCAAAATGCGTTTAACACCCCTAACCTACGAGCACCATAGCTCAACCTAGCTGACCTTAAATATGCCCAGAATACTTGCGTTTGCCTACCGTGGGGCTAAACCGTCTAACCTATTTTATACTAAAGTGTTGAATATCTCATGGAAGATGTTATGATTGGATACTGCACTGAAAGTGAAGTAACAGAATGGTTGTATTCTTGCTGAAATGTGGTTTTAACTGAATGTGTGTGGCTTTTGCACCGCCATGAAGTCACAAAATCCTAAGTGGAATCGTAAGTCGGAGACCATCTGTATCCTGTTTCCTGATGACCTTTTACTTAACGGATTTGATCAGGCTCCATTAGGCTCCACTATTGATCCCTGGTCCTTGTCTGAGTCAATTATTACACTGGGGGTTACAAAGTGATGATTTTCTAATTCTGCTCTTCTGTCTACACTTACTATAGAAGAATCTACGAGCAGATTCTTCTGTAGAGAAGAGCTTTCTCTTTTCCTCCTCCTCCTCCTCCTCCTCCTCTTTCCTTTTATTTCTCTCTCATCACTAAGGAATCAGGTATTCTTGAAATTTCGTGTGTTACAATCTGTTATAGTCATTATTCTTTTTTGAAGTTGCAAAATCATCCCGCCATGGTCAGTGGGATTCCCTTGAAGCTGGCTTCTGTTTCTTTTTGACCTGACGTCATTAAACTTCGAGCACTGTAGAAAGCTCAGGAAATGCCTCCTTCCTGGGCAGGTGAGGCCAGGGCTGTGCACTGTGCACCCGGCCATCTTCCAGTGGCCCAGCTGCCAGTTGTCACCAGGCTGTGGGGTGTCAGGTGCTGCTCTCCAGACCTTCGGAAATGGAAACGCGGCTGCGTGAATAATCGGAATGAGAAATCGTTTTCTTTTTCCTTTTGTCAGCCTGACAGATGGCTGAGTTTGGTTTTTGTGGCATTCCCTCTCCCTTGCCTCTGCTGGAAGAAAACGGCTCTTCAGGGAGAGTGCGGATGGTGATTAAAAGTGCATACTCTATGCGGTTGGTGATGAGGTGTCCAGTGAGCATTCGGAGAGGGGCAGGGGGCACTTAGTGGCCTTTGTGGCACTGCAATAATTATGTTAGATGAATGACTACAGCACATAGTGTTTCAGAGCTTCCAACCATGGTAAGTAATGAAAATTCAGTTGTATTCTAAAAATGTGCTTTTGAGATTAGGATCTCGTTTGGGCGAGGTGTATTTTTGTGTGTGAGGTGCCAGAGGTCCAATTAACCCAGGAAGTTATTCTGCATTCCCTGGCTCACCTTGCCGCAGAGGCTCTTGAACTGACTGCCTCCGCCCCTTTCCTCCTGTCTCCTGCAGGCGATGGATTTAGAAGTTCCGGTGTTGGCCAGAAACATCCCCGGGAATGCTGCCGTGGTGAAGCATGAAGTCACAGGGCTACTGTTTTCCACTCCTCAGGTAAAGAGAAGTTCTTACCCTTCATTCACTCACGTTGCCTGAATAGTTTTCCTCTGCGTTTGCTGGAGAGAGTCTCCCTGTAGCGCCCAGCATTCCTGTCCTAGGAGGAGCCCTGCAGAGAGCATGCTGTCTTCCGTTACCACCCGGCAGCTGCCTGGGTGTGCCACTAGCGGAAACCTAGGGACAGGAGTGTTGAGTCCCGTTCCTGCTTCTGCCACCAAGTTGCTGTATGGGGCTGGGCCAGATACGTCACCTCTGAGATGCTCTGATTTCTGATTTCCAAAATAGGCACTCTCAGACATAACCATGTATTTATAGCACGTCTGCTGCTTTCAGAGGACGGGCGCCTATGTGATCACTTTCATTCCTTGAAACAAACGCACAAGATATGCAGGGTTCCTGCGTAAATACAGAAATGTGTGTACATCAGGAAATAGAGGAAGGGGCCATGTACCTGTCAGTCGGCCCAGCTGGCTGCCTGGTGACTTCTGGGGCACACCTGTGCCACCACCTCCCAGGAGCATGGAACGGTGCTGCTCCATGTGAGGGCCACAGATGGTGCTGGGGATTCGCCCTCCGGGATTTGCCTGCATCCAACACCCAGAGTGCCTCCTGCAGAGGGCGACCAGGCCGAGTCTCCACGCCGCACTTTCTCTCTGGATAAGTGGAGCCTATCATAACACCTGCCTCTCGGAGTCATGACATGCACTGAATGCGCTGATGGCAGAGCCTAGTGATGTGCACGACACATGCTCAGAGCTCAGCGAACACCAGATACTCTCAAAACGGAAGGTGTTGGCCGTGGGCAGTGGCTGACGCCTGCAACCCCAGCACTTTGGGAGACTGAGGTGGGAGGATCACTTGAGGTCAGGAGTTTGAGACCAGCCTGGCCAACATGGTGAAACCCCATCTCTACTAAAAATACAAAAATTAGCTGGGCGTGGTGGCAGGCACCTGTAATCCCAGCTACTCGGGAGGCTGAGGCAGGAAAATCGCTTGAAACTAGAAGGTGGAGGTTACAGTGAGCCGAGATTGCACCACTGCACTCCAGCCTGGGCGACAGAGTGAGACTCCATCTCAAAAAAAAAAGGCTTAGCTAATAGCATTAAAGACTTCCCTTTTGATAGTAACACCTACAAGCCCAAATAACATCAGGATAGGAAGAGTTTTCAGTAGTTACTTGATTCTCCAAACAAAGGCTTATTGCTTTTTTACCATATTCTATATCTCTCAAAATCAACTCCAGCCAACCTTTATGTCAGGAACATTATCCCCACTCTGGAAAAGTGTTCCGTTTTTTTTTTTTTTTCTGTCTTCCAAAAGGCAACTTTTATTTACTTTATAGCTCAATTTCAGAGCACCAAAGAAAGCACTCCAACTTTATCGCGAACGTCTGAGTAGCAGTCCCTTCTAAGTGGCTATATTAGGCTGAACAGAAGAATGAAAGCAGCTTGGCTGTCCTGATTTCATACAGCCTCTTGTAAGATACTCCTTTTAATGTTTGCAAATCACTGTCGTGCCTCTGCTGTGTTCAGGTTGTTCCTGCTAGTTACCGGCCTCCTCTGAGCCAGCAGACACAACTCTGCAGCCCTCACTGAGTCTAGCTGCAGACTTATTTTGATTCCAGCACTTTCATGTTCATTTCGCAAAGGATGTCTAAAAAAACAGAACTCTTCAGGTTTTATGTGGGGAGAGGCTGCGATTCTTAGCACATGTTGAAAAAGCATGCTAGACGTGGATGTCGCACCTGGTTTGGTTTGGTTTCCTTTCCAGTCTCCTTCTGACTTGACCTAGCACGGGGTAGGAGCTGTTGCTTTAAAAACAACATGCATTTTGAGTAAGTCTGGGACTCTGGTTCTAACAGTCTGGACTAAGAAACTCAGATGAAAGGAACCACTAGTGGGTTGCCAGGGTTGGCAAGATTGAAAATATGGGGCTGGGCACAGTGGCTCACGCCTGTAATCCCAGCACTTTGGGAGGCTGAGGCGGATGGATCACCAGAGGTTAGGAGTTTGAGACCAGCCTGGCCAACATGGCAAAACCCTGTCTCTATTAAAAATACAAAAATTAGCCAGGCATGGTGGCAGGTGTCTGTAATCCTGGCTACTTGGGAGGCTGAGGCAGGAGAATCCCTTGAACCTGGGAGATGGAGGTTACCTAGGAGGTGGAGTGAGCCAAGATCGCATTGAGATCACGCCAGTGTGCTCCAGCCTGGGTGACAGAGCTGGGTGTCTCAAAAAAATGAAACATGTATTCCAGTATGGATTGGAACCAGCATCCCATTTTTTAAGGAGGAATGTCCATGTCAGAACACCGACCTTGTAAAGTTCAAAAAGTTCCGTATGCATATGGTGTATGTATTAGCATACACACTATTCAAGTCAATGCCAAATGTGCAGTGAGGAGTTCTGCATTCATTTTTATTTTCTAACTGAGAATGTGAAGAAACCCGGTACAAAAAGGTGAAGTTCAGACTGTTAGATCGTATGCTTAAGACCCCAGCTACCTATTTTTCAAAACAGAAAACTGATTTTACATCAAGTAAAAGATGTGGGTGACTGTTAAAGGCACTTCCTATTCTTTTCATTTTGTGAATCTTTTAGAAACCATTATTCGTCAGGGTCCCCCAGAGAAACAGAACCAATAGGAGATAGATAGAAACGTGAGATTTATTATGACAACTGGCTGACATGATGGTGGAAGCCAGGAAATTCCATCATCTGTTGTCTGTGAGCTGGAGACACAGGAAAGCCAGTGATGAAAGCAATTCATTCTGAGGCTAAAGGCTCGAGAATCAGGGATGTGTACCCAAAAGAAGGGAGGTCGCTATCTGGAAGAGACACCTGCACCCATGTTTATCAAAGCACCATTCCCAATAGCCAAGGCGTGGAACCCCCCTAAGTGTCTATCAGCAGATGAATGTGTAAGGAAAATGCGGTACGTATACCCAGCGGAGTACTATTCAGCCATAAAAAAGGAGCTGTGTTATTTACAGTAACATGTCTGGACCTGGAGGTCATTATATTAAGTGAAATAAGCCAGGCACAGAAAGATGAATATCGCACATTCTTGGAGTCTGAAGGGCAGAGACTCAGGAGCTCGCGTGTCTCTGTGCAGGAGATGGATGTCCCAACTCAAGAAGCCAGAAAATTCTCCTTCCTCTGCCTTTTCGTTGTATTTGTATTGGATGGTGCTGGCCCAGGTTGCCGAGGGTGCAGCTTCTCTCCTCGGTTCACAGATTCAAATGCTAATCTCTTCGAGAAACAGCCTCGCACACATATCCAGAAACAAGGCATCACCAGTTCTCTGGTCATCCCTTAGCCCAGGCACACTGACACGTAAAATCAACCATCACGCAAACTAAACCAACAAAAGGAACGGAAATGTGCCCTTTCTTTTTGAAACCGTAACACACACTCCGTGAGTCAGGCACTTTTTCTGGTAACTAGAGCTCTGTCCCCTCCTCCCTTCCTGGCACCTGTGTCCTATGGCGGCCCCATGCCTCTGCTCCGGTGAGGGGTTGCACACATCACGCCTTGCAGGGTGGAGTGAGCTGTCGCGTATGTGGTGGGAGTCACGTGTTCTGGCTGCCTGTTGCAGACCTGCTGGGCTAGCTCTGGGTCTAGACACAACGTCCAGAGCCTTTGAATGAATATTCACGTCTCCTCCAAGAAGGTACAGGACTAAGACATCAGCAGTGGCTACAGCAGTGCATGGGTTATCCTGTGTATGAGCAGTGAGATCTTTAGGGAAAGACTTCCTGGCAAACAGGCCTCAGCAAGAAATGAGTTGAGAACGCAGTGTGGCCTCTGCCGGGCAGGAGGGTCAAGCTCAGGTGTCTGGAGGGCACACGGGTGGGCAGGGCATGAGGTGGCCTGCCCGGGGGCAACCCCAGGGACCTTGAGGTCAGGCAAGCAGACCTTGTTGCTGTTGGTGGCTGAAAATCCAATTCTTATGTGTGTATTACTGATTTATAAATGTAGATAACTCAGATTCTAAAATGAGCCTTTTAAACGTGGCAGGGACCTAGCTACACACCCATGGCGAGTTTTGCTGCCAGCCTTGACCTCTGCTGTAGATGCTCTAGATCAGGGATACCTCTTCTCCACTGACAATGAGAAATGGTCCTCAGCCAGGGTACCCCCTGCACACCGACAGCGGGTTACCGAGGAGGACACATCAAAGGTGACCTCTGACCCCAGATCAGGGCTCCTCTGGCCATCACTGTCTTCCTCACTCAAGACAAAAGAGGTGTCAGCTGTCCCGGGAGGGCCTGCAGTGGGCTCGGGAGTGGAGTGCAGTTGATTCTAGGGTTGTATGGACCAGAAAATAGAAGGACTTGATTGCTAAAGCAACAGTGGGAGGCCGGGCGCGGTGGCTCACGCCTGTAATCCCAGCACTTCGGGAGGCCGGGCGCGGTGGCTCACGCCTGTAATCCCAGCACTTCGGGAGGCCAGGCATTTTGGGAGCCAGATTGCTTGAGCCAGGAGTTTAGGGCCTACCGCTCTGCCTTCGCTGCTCTGTGGCCATGTGGGCATCTCTGCTCCTCCCTCAGAGGTAACTTGAGTTTCCAGCCTCCTTTCCCTTCTCTTCCCCATCTTACTTCCTTCCTGGCATGTATCATGGTCCCACTCTGCTTGCTCTCCACACCCTCCTCCCCACCCCACTCAGAGTGTTAGATCCAGAAGAGCAGTTTCTCCAACTGTGAAATGGGAAGTGAGGCCTCCTCTGGGGGGGGTTTGTGCCCTTCTGTGTGCAGTCCCAGCACCTGAGAAGCGCCTGGCACTGAGTGTGTGTTGACAGGTGAATGGCGAATGCAGGGTCCTGGGGTGGGGGTGGCCGCCGTCTGCACAAAGATGATGGGAATCTGGAGGGAAGGTTGCTTTAGGGAGCTTATGAGGACAGCCTACAGAATTGAATAAAAAAAATTTTTGATTTTTTTTACAAAATGATGATTAAACATATTCAGCCCTGGTAGGAACAGAATAATCTCTATTTTT